ATAAGGTTGACTCTCTCACACGAGCAACTACCTTTGATATTGAAATCAAAGATGAGACAATAGTGTTCACCAACAAGGCAACAAAAAATGTTTGTATGGTAGAAAAGAAACACAAATCATATGTCACTTCGATTAAAGAGCAAGTTGAGATGAGATCTGAAAGCATACTTGGATCGAGCCATGGATCCCCATATCCATGATACTTGTAGCTAAACAACAAATTCTTCTAAATTGACATCATGTGAGATCAATAGAAAAGAAGAATTTAGGTTTAGGTACAATGAATATCTAAACTTATGTTTGTATAGTTCTAATAATAAATGAAAATGACGTATGCTCTTACAAGCAAGAGTAACACCATAACATGTGTTTTATACCACATGTACTTAAGAATCGCAATGGGAAGCAAGTGAATAAATCCCTATTTCATTGCTGTGTGAGTCCCAGAAAGGAAAAATCCTTTCATTGATGTCCTTTGACTTTGACATTATCATGGAGATATGTTACAGTGTTTGCTACTTTAACATATACCTTATGGTCATGATTGATGCGACCTAAAGGTTTCACGTTAGGAAATCGACTGTTTCCTATCAAAGTCGTATATAGGCAAAAGGAAGATTATCTTAAATATACACATCTATGCTCGTATTCAAGACATGTCTTTTATGAAATAATTTGTGAATTCATAAGTGTGGATACTACGCATATAAGAGAAATTATCTGAGTCTTAGACTGACTTAAGAGGGATCAGATTAGTCATAATGAGAAAAAGTGTATATTGATAAACCTAGGACATTAAGGCACGAATTTAATCAAGAATAAATTCAACTTTAAATTTATTTGTGCTGGTCCTTAATAGGATTTCCTAGTACAAACAACTGAAATAAAGATGTCAAGCCTATGTGGTCACAGCAAAGCACCTAGTATGAAGAGAGGAAAGAGAAAGAGATAAGACTGACATTATCTTCTCCACCAAGTGTGAGTGGGAGATGTTGGGTTATCCACCCTTGGTGGATCAGGCCCATATAAAAGCCTAAATTGGGGAATAGGGCTCTTATGACAATTATGAAAAATGTTTGGGTTCAAAATACGATTTACTCAGGGCCTTAAAATGTAATATTCTCCAACCTTTGAATTTGAATCATGAACGGTTAGAGAAACTGCTGCACGTTCCTATAAGAGGTAGTTATGGGTATGGTTTCAGTCAGTTTATTTTGTTCTCTGCATGAAGAAAGAAACTGAACACACTCATTTTTTAGTTGACTCATTTTCTCCTTACAACTCATTCTCTCAGAGAGTGCATTTGCTATATATCCGAATGAAGTTCGACCGGTGTAACTTTGTTCCCACATATGTACGTGTGAATTAACAACTCAAGGTATGTTTTTTCTCCTCAATTTCTTTTATCTCTTTTCCTGCCAAACCTTCTTTCTCGTCATTTTATGATGCCTTCATTGAATTACTCAATTAAGCCATTATACATCAACCTTGTTTAATCTTGTAAAAGAAATTGAGGAGGAAAAATATACCTTAAGTAATTAATTCACACGTATGTATGCAGGAACAAAGTTGCACCGATCAAATTTTATTTGGATACACAGCAAACACACTCTCTGAGAGAATGAGTTGTAAGGAGAAAATAAGTTGACTGGAAAATGAGAACATTCAATTTCTTTCTTCACATAGAGAATAAAATGAATCGACTGAAACTACACTCATAACCACCTCTTATAGGAACGTGCAGCAATTTCTTTAATCGCTCATGATTCAAATTCAAAGGTTAGAGAATATTATATTTTAAGGCCCTGACTAAATCGCATTTTGAATCCAAACATTTTTCATAATTGTCACAAGAGCCCCATTCCCTAATTTAGACTTTTATATGGGCCTAATCCAGTAAGGGTGGATAACCCAACATCTCCTACTCACACTTGGTGGAGAAGATAATTTCAGTCTTATCTCTTTCTCTTTCCTCTCTTCATACTAGGTGCTTTGCCGTGACCACATAGGCTTGACGTCTTCGTTTCAGTTGTTTGTACTAGGAAATCCTATTAAGGACCAGCACAAATAAATTTAAAGTTGAATTTATTCTTGATTAAATTTGTGCCTTAATGTCCTAGATTTATTAATATACACTTTTTCTCATTATGACTAATCTAATCCCTTTTAAGTTAATCCAAGACTCAGATAATTTCTCTTATATGCGTAGTATCCATACTTATGAATTCACAAATTATTTCATAAAGGACATGTCTTGAATATGAACATAGATGTGTATATTTAAGATAATCTTCCTTTCGCCCATATATGACTTTGATAGGAAACAGTTGCTTTCCTAACATGAAACTTTTAGGTCGCATCAATCATGACCATAGGGTGTATGTTAAAGTAGTAGACACTGTAACATATCTCCATGATAATGTCAAAGTCAAAGGACATCAATGAAAGGATTTTTACTTTCTGGGACTCACATAGCAATGAAGCAGAGATTTATTCACTTGCTTCCCATTGCGATTCTTAAGCATATGTGGTATGAAACACATGTTATGGTGTTACTCTTGCTTGTAAGAGCGTAAGTCATTTTCATTTATTATTAGCACCATACAAACATAAGTTTAGATATTCATTGTACCTAAATCCAAATTCTTCTTTTCTATTGATCTCACATGATATCAATTTAGAAGAATTCATTATTGCTCTGTGAAACCTCAAATACCATTATCTAGATGATTGTTTTAGTCCATAAATTGATCTATTTAATTTACATACTTTATCTTCTTTTCCTTTTTCAATAAAACCTAATGGCTATTGCATATAAATTTCTTCATCCAGATCATCGTTTAGAAAAGCAGTCTTTACATCCATCTGGTGCAACTCTAAGTCTAGACTATTTACTATTGCCTGAACTAGTCTGATAGAATTGAAGGGTACAACAGGAGAAAATGTATCCTCATAATCTATTCCCTTTTGTTGTATATATCCTTTTGCTATTAAGCGAGCCTTATATTTATCAATTGATTCATTCACTTTTTTTTAATTTTGAGAACCCACTTGTTCCCAATAGCCTTTGAGCCACGTGATAAATCAACTAATTTCCATACTTTGTTAGTCCTCATAGAACCATTTCTTCATCCATTGCTTTCTTCCATTTATCTGTAGCAGGTCCTGATAAAGCTTCATTTACAGAACATGGCTCATCATCATCTAGAGGAGTTACCACCAATGCTTCACCCTCAATTTGGAAGCGTCTTTTTGGCACACTTTCTCTATTGCTTTTTCAAAGTGGGATCACTTGTGGATTTTGATTCTTTTTAGGTCTTCTGGAAGACTTTTTAAAGCTCCTACTTAAATCAGCATTTTACGATGATTCAGGCCTTTCTATATATTCTATATTATGTTGCTTTCATGTCTTGTAAAGAGATATAGTTCGATCAATTTCTCCCCTACTAGGAAACTCATTTTCTAAAAATGTGACATTTCTAGATTCAAATTTAGTTACAGTTCCATCATCATTTTCACCAATGAAAACATAACCCTTTGATTGCTCAGGGTATCTTATAAAGATATATTTCTTTTCTCTTAGACATAATTTTTCATATTTATGGGAATCATCATGGACATATGCAGCTGACCCCCATGGTCTTAAGATATTTAAATCCAATTTGTGTTTTGTCCATAGCTCATAGGGTGTGGAAGTAACTAATTTTGAGGGCACATCATTAAGTATGAAGGCTGTAGTCAGTAAAGCGTCACCCCAATATGAGATTGAAAGATTTGCTTGTGCCATCATTGACCTAACCATGTCTAGAAGAGTCTGATTTCTTCTTTCAGCAACTCCATTCTGTTACGGAGTGTCAGGAGCTAGTTGTTTAATTATTCCTTTTTCTTCACAGAGTTCTTTAAATTGATCAGACAAGTATTCATGTCCTCAGTCAGTTTATAAGCTTTAATTTTATTGTCCATTTGATTTTCAACCTCATTAATGTATCGTCTAAAGCACTCAAGAGCTTCCGACTTTTGTGATATCAAATAGATATGACCAAAATGTGAAAAACCATCGATAAAGGTAATAAAATACCAAGCTCCGTGTTTTGCCCTTATACTCATAGGACCATATATATCAGAATGGATTTTCAGCCCTAATACCTTTACCAAAAGGTTTTCTCGTTGCTTTACCAGCTAGACAATTTTCACATAAGGACATTTCCATGTTTGTAATTGGACCTAGTATTCCTTCTTTAGCTAGTTTAATCATTCTATTTTGATTAATATGCCCTAGTCTAGCATGCCAGATATTCATATCAACATTATTGGAAGAGGTGGTAAAGCAATCATGAAAATAAACTTGGTCAACAATATCCATTATAAAGAACCTTTTTGAAAGAAAAGCACAACCATAAAAAGTTAAATTGTACATAATGTCGACAATGTTGTCATGAAAATTAATTACAAACCCAAATTCTAAAAGGCAAGCAATTGAAATTAAGTTTCGTCGGATGTCCGGTACATGTAAAACATCATGGAGAATTAAGGTTTTTCCACCTCGCAAGATTAACTTGCAAGTTCATATGCCTTTTACCTCGATCCTTGCATTGTTGCCAACGTAAAGCCACTTGCTTTGATTCGACAACCGATGGTACTCTACGAAGGATCCACGATCCTTGCTTTCCAAGAAGAGGAAACAGTTTCGGTTAGAAAATCATTATTGAAAACATAAGAAAAAAATGTGAATTCACAAAATTCACAAGTACCTGATCATGTCTACTTTGCTTAGGACAGTCCTTTGCAAAATGGCCCATCTTTTGACAGGCGAAACATTTGACCTTTTTAAGGTTAATTCTCTTTTTGTTGCTCTTCTTACCCTTTTTCTTGAAAGGTTGTTTGTCCTTCTTTACTCTTGGGCCACTCTTATTACCCTTCTTATGTTGTTTCTTGCCTCTCTTGGGCTTAGAATTTAAAGGACCACCTTCCTCGACAAGGTAAGTTTGTCCAGATGACTTCTAAGCCTCTAGATGTTCAGCTTCTAGATCCAGGTATTTAGCTATATCGTTAAAGTTAACAATGTTTTCATTATAGGTTAGGTTAACTTTCATATGCTCCCAGCTATGCGAGAGCGATCTCATTATAGCCTGTACTTGCTGTTCATCAAAAAGATTGTGCCTGGCTTCTTTAAGTTCACAGATCATGTTGGCCATCTCTCTGAGGTGCTACCACATGGGAGTGTTCAGCTTTAGTTTATAAGTGTTGAATTTAATTGTAAGCCTTCTCAGTTTGGTAGTTAAGGTACCACCAAATTTTTCTTTTAAGGCAGCCCACATGGCTTGGGCAGTGGAGTGCTTCTCAAATTCACACATCAGATCATCCACCATAGCACTTAGAAGTGTTACTTGTGCAATGTTATTTTTTCATTTCCATGCCTCAAATACCTCTTGGTCTCTACTATGCTGAGCCAAGTTCCCTGCCTCAAGCTCTACTATGACTTTAGTCAATGGCTCAACAGCATCTTATTCTTCTAAAATATATGACACGTTACGGTGTCAGATATCTCAGTTATCCCCATTTAATTTATCACCCTTATTCAATTCAGTGATAATGCTTTTTGTTGCCATTCTTAGTTCTGAGACGAAACTATCTCACATTAATAGTTTTCTATATCAAACCAAGAATAAAATACTTATGAGAAATGTACAATGTCTTATATTTGTATTATTCTTTATTAGAGTGATAACAACTCTATTAGGTCAATGATCAGGAGGCTACGTTTGTATCTCCCATCACATTAATTTTAATAAAATCACTATGGTCTATAAAAAATTTTACAAATATTTTAATCATTACATATGGCTCATAAATGATTTATCACTTTAGAGCTCCCACTCAATTAAAGTATATATAAAGAAATTAAACATAAAATAACATGCTTAATATATTTCATAAGTCATCAAGGTCTTAATACAGCATAAAACAAATTCTTGGAAAAATAGAACAATGCTTAAGGCACAGACCTAAAAAGACAACTCTTAATTATGTCTTTATATTTTTATTATACTTTCATCCCCTTGATGGCTCTATTCCATAGAGGATTTCTAGAGTACGACTTGTTTCGCTTGTTATGTTGCACAAACTCCTTCCTAAGTTGTTTGAAAATTTCTCCTACAACCACAGCTTGTTCTTCTTTCGTTATAAAACTTGAATATGCTCTGACTATCGGAGAAATTTGATCTAATTTTTTTATTCTTTTAACTTCTCTTTTTGCTATATTTATGATCACTAAGAGTGTGAAAGGTTGTTCAACATCTTCATTTTCATTTTGAATATTCTCATCACCCTCTGATTCATGTTTTGGTCCCGATAGCATGTGCACCCCTTTAGGTCCTTTCGGCACATTTTCAAGATCAACATTGGGATCTTCTTCAAGATCAGAATCAGAATCCTCACTTTGAGGTTCATATTCCTCCTCCTCCTCTTCGAAAGGTTTCAGGTTAGAATCCTCACTAAAAGGCTCATAATCTATTTATTCAGATACTCAATATTGACAAAATAATTTTTTGAGTTATCAGTGCTGCTAGAAGCCTCTTGTTTTATATTTTCCTTGAAAAAAAAAATAAGAAAGAAGAAAAAAATTTCAATTTTTTTAAATTCATAAAAAAACTTGATAACTCAAAAATTAAATTCTTGTTATATCTTAAAAAATATGTAAATTATATATCAAAATGAAGATCTCAAATTTAGGAATTTTTTAAGATAAATTTTGTCCCAATATGATCCCACATGCGCTGGCACATGCCCCAAGAAGGCGCTGGATGAAGAAATTTCATTTTTTTTTTAAAATGCCATTCTCGAGGGAAGCGCGTGTTGTGCACACGCCACCTTATCTGCCTTAGGTGATGACACGCACCGGACCATCATTCCCCACGCACCACCAGCTTCATGGTGGGGTCAACCACGCACCTATGGAGTTATTTGGTGGGTCCCACGCGCCATGTGTCCTCTTAATATCTTTTTTTAATTAAATAAAAAATAAATATATATAATTTTTTTATTTTTTTTATTTTTTCGGGTTGATGAACCCAACCCGTAGACCCATTAACTTTTTTTTTGTTTTTGTTTTTTTTTGGGTTGGGCTTCCAAGCCCAAAACCTTTCCTCCTTTTTTTCATTTGGGGCTTCTGGGCTCGTAGCCCAAAAACCATTTTTCTTTCTTCGTTTTTTTTGACAACATGTCAAAATGACATGTCGTTTCTGTCATCGTTTTCCCCAACTAGGTCAACTTGACCCGGTTCCTCTGGCGAGTTGGGTCCGTTGGACCTAAAACTTTCGGAGGCCATATCTCCTCCGTTCGGTCTCCATTTTACGTATTCTTGGTGTCATTTTCTTCATTTTTTTTGAGCTCTACACGTTTATGCAATCCTTTTGTTTAAAAAACTCATTTTTTCAAACACCCATTATTTGGTTTGTTTTCAGTCATTATGTTTGTCACTGTTGATTGCATGCAAAATGTGTATAGCCATATATGAAACATTCATATTAACCAAGAAGCATATTAACACGTTCATTTTGATAGTAATAATCTTAAAGACAGACAAAGAAGATCAAAGCGTAAACACAATAAGAAAATAAAAAAAATGAACTTAGAGATTTGCATGTGTATTGTTAAGCAAATCATTATGAGTTCTTCAGACATAGGAAACACAGCCTAGGAAAGACGAAAGCTCTACCTTGAGTCGTTAATTCACACGTACGTATGCGGAAATAAAGTTACACCAGTCGAACTTCGTTCGGATACATAGCAAACACACTCTCTGAGAGAATGAGTTGTAAGGAGAAAATGAGTCGACTGAAAAACGAGAGCATTTGGTTTCTTGCTTCACGTAGAGAACAAAATGAATCGACTGAAATCGCACTCAAAACCACCTCTTATGGGAACGTGCAGTAGTTTCTCTAACCGCTCATGATTCAAATTCAAAGGTTGGAGAATATTACATTTTAAAGCCCTGAGTAAACCGTATTTTGAACCCAAACATTTTTCATAACTGTTACAAGAGCCCCGTTCCTCAATTTGGGCTTTTATATGGGCCTGATCCACTAAGGGTGGATAACCCAACAATCTTGTACACCCTCATTAATTAATTCATATGCACCACATTATGCTCACCACCAGTAGGTGTGGGAAAGATTTCAAGTATAGAGCTTATGGAGAATCATGGTTGGGCCGTTTAGGAATTTTCAATCTAATTCATATCCTTAAATCTCAATGCACTTATAAGGTGATACTTGTGGAACTAATCTCTTAGTTAGTGCTTCAACTTAAACAAAAACAAAATGAGATCTCTGCTGTTGGACCAACAAGTGGGGGGATGAATAGCAAAGTGACACTTTCATTTTCAAACTTTTGCAATTGTTTTGTTAGTTTCAACAGTTCGTTTATTTGTTTTCTTCGTATGCCTTGTCTAGGAAGCAAATCCAAATTGTATTTTCTTCCTCTGCTGTTTTTAGGGCGTTGGAACAATTAGAGTCGAAAACTTAGTTTAAATTATTATTTTTAGTCTTATTCATCTTGATGGTTTATAATTTATGATTATGTGAATTTGAGGTTGATGTGATGATTGTATGATGCAAACAATGATGATTGTTTGAGTATTGGTTTATTGTTGCTGCAATATTAACATTTTTTAAAAAAAGAAATAATTTTAATTTTAAGTTTCTTTTTTGTTATAAAAAGATTAGATTTGTTTTCTTTTAAGAAAAATTATTTCAATTATTGTTCATTTGTCTTTCTATTCAATATTCTTTTCCTTTCAAGTCTTTATTTATATGTATACATTATTCAATTAGATGATTATTCTTCACAATTATATACAGGAGCTATATATGAGATATATTATATAGGTGAGATGGTTATTCCTCACCATAAGTTATACATCATATGGTATAAAGGTGAGATAGTTATTCTTTACCATCATACATGGAAAGGATATATATATAATATATTATATGTGGGATGGTTGTTCTCCCACCAATTTTGGTGTGTTAATTGAAGAAATGTTTTGATTGTATATTTAATAACTATTGCACGATTGTCAATTTGGTTAATCAATAAAGATTGAAAAATTATTTTATCCTTCTCTAAAATTTGCAATTTGAATAATTGAACTTAATGACATTATTTTATTTTATTGTCCAATGAAAATCATTTGCGAAAAAACTCTTGTGCGCCTTGCTTCTCTGATGCTCATTTTGTTATTTATGCCCTCATTAAGTCAATGGTAGATTCACTCTTCTCCGATATTTTTTTTTCGAGATGATTAGTCAACTATTAAAGTTCTTTGTAAATAAATATCATTTCTAGACAGATGGAGTAAATTGCAAATATTTGGATAGTGTTATGGGATTATGTGATGTGGTGATTACTATGAGGGTCTTGGAGTTAACATGTGATATTGATTATGGAAGAGTGGTGATTGCATATAAAATTGTTTTGTGTAATGCGTTATTCCATTTCGAGGATTGAATTTGTTATGAACGGTGAAAGGTTGAATAAGGAAAACTTTGTGTCTTATTAAGATATTTTTTGTAAGAGGTATAACTTCAAATTAACTATCTTATAAGAAAATCTTAATTAAAATTTTTTATCTGTTCATCAAAATAATACTACAGTTAGAGAGCTCTTACTGAATGACAAAATATTTATGAAGAGGGTTTGGAGAATGTGAGTCATTTTGAATGGTTAAATGATCTAAAAATTATAACCTTACCTAAAAAAATGAACGCTGCTGGAGACGCACACAAAAATGAGAGTAGGGGTATGGTTTATATTTAAAAAGAACAGTCATTTATTCTGCTACTGCTGTTGTTGTTGTTGTTATTAATTTATTTTTTAATAGTCAAGGGAACAAATTCGATGCCATTTTCGGTGGCAGCCAAAGTGGACTTTGTCCCCTTCCTTTTTAAAAAAAATATAATTACACACACATATACACACAGAGATATATATATCTAAGCGAGCAAAATAGGCTTAATTTAATCCATAATTAAATACCTAAATATGTTATTAATCTGAAAAACAATTTTCATTTCTTAATTTAAATATCAAAATAATATGAATTCTAAATTTTAAATTCTCAACAAAAACTCAAATTTCATAATTTATTTATTATTTAAAGATTAGGATGTTATAATTGATATCATGTCAATCTTCATTTGAAGATGTAAGAAAAATATAGCAACTTGTAACACTGAAAATAAAATAGAAAGAGCTATACTAACATTCGAGCAAAATGTAATAACCATTAACCAACCAAAAGTAGTGTTTTCCCTGACTCAAACAAAATGTGGATCTTTATCATTTGATTAAAACGAAAAAAACAAAACAAAACAAAATAAAAGAAAAAAAATTCTCCGCCTCATCATCATAAAATTCAAAACATGGAATACTCATAATACTCCTATTATTATTATATTGTTAATTAATTACAAATTACCATATATTTTTTTAAAATAATTCTTGTAAACTAAAATCTCATGTAAAACCCATAAAAAATAGGTGTGGGAATATTTGTGAATATAAGATTGGTAATAAAAAATAATATAATATACCCAATATTTTTGGTAAGGGTAGGAACTCTACTTATCATTTATTACTTGTATTTTGAATATGTATAAGAAAATTAATTGTATTATAAATTATAAATTTAAATAATAAATCATAAAATAGAATGGTTTATTGCAATGAAATTACTAACTTAAATTATAAATTATAAAAAAATATATGTATAATTTGATGAATAATTTTTATTATTTCAAATTTTAATCCACATGAAAAAAATTCTATATAAAATACTTTTAAATTTTATTTTTAAAATGAGCAAGATAACAAATTATAAAATAAAATAAACTTATAAGGAATAAATATTGGCTTTTCTTTTTTCTTTTTAAACAAATTGCATGTTAAAAGATTATGCGTGGTTAATAGTAAAAATGATAGGCAAAAGACTTATAATAAGTTAATTGTATTTTATATATATATATAAAAGATAATATTACAATAATTTTTTAATTTTACTTTTAATAATATCATAATTAACATATATGGTCAAAACTTTAACATATATATATATATATATATATATATATAAATGGTCAAAATAAATTATTATTTGAATTTTAATTTATGTAAATTAACAAAATATATTAAATTAAGTACACAAAAAATAAATTACTTTTTATTTTTATACTTTAAATACTTTTATCTCTTAAATTGTTTCCGATCATCTACTATTAATTAGGTAATTTATACAAGATATATTTTTTATTGCTTGTATTTTGTATAGGTATAAAATAATAAATTGTACAATAAAATATAAAGTTAAATAACAAACTATAAGATAGGATATTTTATTTTTTAAAATTTTAATTTATATGAGAATAACATATATATAATAAATTATTTTTATATTTTTAATATACATACGTAATAAAATTTTGTATGTAATTGTTTAGGATGTAAATATTTTGAAATTGATATCTATAAATTTCTGTGGATTTTTCCTTTTTAAGAAGGAAAGAATTTTTTTTATACTTTGTAAAAAATAATAAAATGAAAAAAAATTCAATAAAATTTACAAATATCAACTTTAAAGAATTTAAATTAAATTTTTTAATATACAGAGAATGTTATTTATATTTTCAATATGTACATAAGAAAAAAATTAAAAATATAAAGAGTTATTTAAATTTTAATTTATATGCAATAATACATAAGTTTGAAATTTTAACTTATGCTCCGTCCATTGGGTTGAATGTTCAAGAATATCAAGCATTTTTAGTATTTTAAAATATAAATATTATATTTTTTTAAAAGTACCTTTATTAAATAATCACTTTATATTTATTTTAAAGTGAAACACTTATTAGATATGGATAAATATTATAGTATTAGTTTAAAAATAAGTAACTACTTTATTAAAAATGAGATTTGGTTAGAAATACCTTATATTTTTTAACAGAAGGAATACAATATAATTTTATTTCAGAATAACAAAATATAAAGTAAAATATATTTTTATTTAAATTTTAATTTATATGAGAAAACACATCATAGGATATATAACAAATTTATTTATTATATTTTTTATATATGCAGGAGTAACAAATTATAAAATAGGATACAAAATTAAAACAAATTATTGCGGGTATTCTAAATATGCATGAGATAACAAATTTATTATTAATATATACAACTATACCACAACTTTAAATTTAATCCTGAGGTTGATGAATTTATTTTTCATTGCACAACTCCTGATCATAAACTTTTTTTAATAATTGTTTTTATCATTATAGACAAATATATGATTAAGAAATAGTACTATAATATTGGTTATTATACTTGCTTAATTTAAAATCATTATTCTTATTTATTTTTACTTTTGGATATAAATATGATTTATAAATACTATTTTGACATAAATTATAATGTGTGATTCATTATGATACATGTTTTATTTTCCTCATGATGCATTGACCAACAAATTCTTAAAGAAAATAAGTTAATTTTATTTTGCATGGTATGCTTAGAACTTTAGACAGAGCAAATACAAATTGAATAATATTTTTTGGAGAATAAATTTTCCTTTTCAATTAATTATGAGATAGAATTTAACAGAAAATTTATTCTTTAACATAATTTCAGAGTTTCCCCTCACATCAATTGAAGGAAGAGTACAAATGTAGGTGTTGCATTCTTAAATCTATTATGGAAGTAACATATTTTAAAATAGAAATAAATTATTATTTATATCTTTAATATATTTGAGTAAAACAAAATTTAAAGTAGAATAAATTTTTATTTAAACTTAAATTTGAATAAAGTAACATATCACAAAAAAACAACAATAAATTATTTTAAAATTGTTTATTTTTTATTTTATGCTTACCCTTCAATGATAAAAGATCCTTACAAATATTCAAAAGAAAAAAATCTCAAACAAGTTTTTACAATACTCATAAACAAGTAAAAAAAAAAAATATATTCCCATGCATCGCATGAGTCAAAATCTAGTTACATGTGAAACTTGTGAAAATTAGAGAAATTAGATACATTAATGTCTTAAAAATAACATGACTTTCTATAAATTTTATATTTTACATTACATTATATATTGATTAATAATAATGACTTCTCAATTTTACTTACTGTTTTTAAAGACCAAAAAACACTTCCCATTTGGAAAATTATCCTTTTATTTTATTCTATTATACTCCATCCGTTCAAAAATGTAAAGTATTTTTAATCAAATCTTACCCCTCAATAAAGTAGTTACTTGTCTTTAAATTAACCCTATTTTTTCATATTTATCTCTATTTAATAAAGTGTTTCACTCAAAAAAATATAAAGTAATTTATCCAATAGGAGCATTTTTTTAAAAAAATAATGATTACACTTTTAAAGACTTAAAATGCCTTACATTTTGAACATCTAACTTCTTAAAAAATACTTTATATTTTTGAAATAAGAGAGTATATGATAATAAATGTTTTGGATGGATATAGTTACAATGAAAAAGAGTGATTGGACATCAACTTGCAATTACAATATATGTGAATCTTCTAACATTCTTTGACAAGAATTTGAACGAGTCTGCTCACCTTCATGCCCGTCCAGAGACACTCCAATAGGATCATCATTGGTCGCCTGATTTGTGTTGCTTCTGCAAATGCCGTAAGTTATTCAGAAATATTAGACTGTTGATGTACAGTAACGAAAGAATATGAAATAAGGATTATGTTATGCATGTGTTAACAATATTGAAGACAAGCAATAACAAGAACTAATGAAATAAACAATGTGCATTAACTATGGAAGAACGACATGCTCAATACAAATCAATCCTTAACTAAAGATAAACCAACCATTCCCAAACAACAAAAAGAAACAAATGATGGATTACACAATAAACTTCCCTACTTTCTAACTCAATGTGGTGCCATTTATATAAACTTTAAGGTCATCAACAAACCAAATGATTAACACCTATTAACTAACTAACAACAGCATCGCTGCTTCAAGAATGAAAAAAGTGAACCTTGATAAAGCACATTGGAATAAATATGACTTAAAAATGGATTCAGACTTAGACGCTCACCAGAAAGGTGGCTTGAGTTATAGCCCCTATAACCAAATACTCCTGGCCTGGAAATTGAGGTTTTGCTGTGGCATTGATAACCTGTTAACATGAACACACAATGCTCCATATTTGGACGTGAGTTTGGGTGACCTTGAGTGCACAGTAGACCCATTTCAATGCATTTCTTCACTTGCTCGATGACTGCCGAATTTGCTAAAGTAGGGTCCATGATCTCTGAGATCTTGCCTCCCTTAAAAAGCTTGTATGCCTGTTTTCCCAAAAACAAGAAAAGAAAATGGTTTTGATTGACCGTCCATCTTGAGTATATCCTTTGTTGATCACATTTGAGTGTTGAGAAAAATAATATTTACCCAGCTAAGCAAACCAATAGCATTGACCTCTGGTGGCGGCATAAATGAGTATCTTTTCCCACTTATCAGTTCCAACACCAAAACTCCAAAACTATAAACATCTGTTTTCACTGACACGCGAGTATGGTCTAAATATTCAGGAGCTATATATCCCCTGTACATGATTCACAGGCTCTCAGTATCAACATGATATACAGTGAAAATTTGAGTAGAAGGATTCTCTTTCATGACAATAAAAACAAGGGAAAATCGCATCTAAAAACCTATGACGAAAGTTATTTGCAGATAATGACCAATAACAAGCCACCATTCGAGAAAAAACAAATTTATATTCTTATTTTAACAACAATCCATTTTATATTGATTCTTGTATGCAAATAACTTTCTTTACAGGTCATTGAATTCAATTTTCCTTGAAAACAAAGACAAAGACAAAAATATATATATATATATATATAAAAATCAAATGCCGTGCATTTTGCTTTTCTCTCTAAATTTAAAAGCATACCAAGTGCCAACTATTCTAGTATAAACATGGGTTTGGTCTTCCTCAAATAGACGGCTAATGCCAAAGTCAGAAATTTTGGGCACCCATTTGTGATCAAGCAAGATATTGTGAGGCTTTATGTCACGATGAATGATGCAGTTTTGGGGGTTACCATGAAGATAACTCAAACCCCTTGCAATGCCCATGATTATGCCATAGGTCCGACTCCAATCAAGCTCCTCCTCTCTCCCATTGGGACCTGCAAAATTCATTACTCATAGATCAAAATATGACATGACATTGGTTACAAGGTGAGGGTGAGACATGTCAACACTTACCGAATAAAAGCTTGTCGAGACTCTTGTTGGGAACATACTCATAAACAAGTAAGAATTTGTTGTTATCGACACAATAACCAAACAATTTCACCACATTGAGGTGCTTCACGCTACTCAGCAACTCTACCTCCCTCATCAACGCTTCTTTATCTTGTTCTGACATATTTAATGACTTCTTTACTGCAATCTCTCTCCCATCATCCAACTTCCCCTGTTGCCAATAAAGGTTTGGTTTAAACATTATTAAAATATAAAATTTGTGAAATGTCTTTGAAGTAAAAAAAAAAAAAATGGAGACAATCGGCAAGACAGAACAACTACACGAATTTTAGAAAATATTTTTCATTGTTATAACTTAATGTTTTCACTTTTTCTGATAGGCGTTAGGTTTTCAAGTTCATTCCAAATTTCCATGAAAAATGATAAAATTGTTTAATGATCTAACCTTGTAGACGAGTCCAAAGCCTCCTTGACCCAGCACATTTTGAGAGGCAAATCCATTGGTAGCATCATATAAGGTTTCATAGGAGAACTTCTGACAATTGTGGGCACCTATTCTCTGCCTTAGACTTTCATCTTCTTGTTCCTCTGAAACAACTTCAAATACAAAGAATCCGTTACAGCCAAACACTTGGAAACCGGGGAATAAATTTACAGAAACAAGGAACTGTTATCTTGAGGAAGGAGATAAGAAATTCAGGCCTACCACGTCCATCTTGGACAGGAACACTGACCGAGTTCCTGGGCGAGTCTTCTTCCATTATCTGCTTTGAAGGACAACAAATTGCCAAATCCGGATAAAGTTCTGGTCGCAAGTCGACCACTTCTTTAACTCCATCCAGTTCTTCAACTCCATCAGACTGAAATGATCTCGCGTCAAAAGAAGAACAGGATGATGGAGTAAAGGATCTTGAGTTGTCAATTTTCAGTCCCATAAGACGCCGACTCCCTGTTAACATGGAAACAACACGAGCCATGCTCGGAAGATCATTCCCCTGTTAACATGGAACCAACGTGATCCATTCTGGGACGCGAGTCTGGAGCACATTGAACGCATAGTAAACCAATCATGATGCAATTTGTCACTTGCTCGGTCACTACCGACTCTGCTACAGTAGAGTCCAAGAATTCTAAGCCCCTGCTTTCCTTGTCAAGCTTGCATGTCTGATGCAAAAAGGAGAAGAAAACAAAAACAGAAATTAATTCAACCCTCTAAGTTTCATACATTCATATGTAATAACTTAATTAGAAATATTTGACCAAGACAGATTAATGATCCTCTTGTTTGGATTATTCAAGGATGATTACATATGGCAGTTGGGGCTAGGGGTCTCTAATAATATGCCTTTTTTTAATGTCCCTTATAATGTCCTGGCAGTTGAGTTTTGAAGAAAATAATATTTACCCAACCAAACAGCGGAAGCCACATTCCATTTTGAGGGTACAAACTTTTGCCACCAATGAGCTTCAGTAACAATACCCCAAAACTATATACGTCCGACTTTGTTGATCTTTGTCCGACTTGCCAATATTCTGGAGCCAAATGTCCGCTGTATATATTCGACAAGCTTTCAGCGTCTATACCAGATGAATACAAATTACCAGAACACTTGTATTGTATGGTTCAAAGATGGGAAACAAACCCGGACACTGTACAATTTTTCATCGTAATTGAGAATTTCATACTTCTAAGACAACACATACCAAGGAGGAGGATCTACACAGGTAGAGAAGCTAGTATTCAAGTTGCGGCCTCTGTTAATACCACAAATAATTGGCTTCAACTGGTGGTCAAGCAAGATATTTGCGGGATGCATGTCACCGTGGATGATGATGATGTCGCGATGAAGATAATTCAAACCATTTACAATGCCTTCGATTATTTCATACTTTTGAGTCCAGCTAAGTTGCTTTCTCCCACTAGGACCTGCAGGGTTAATCACAATATTTATATTCATATATACTAGTGATTCATCGTCCTTGATACAATGCATCCAAGGAATACGTGAAAGGAGTCACAGTCACTGGAAGTATTGGGGTTATTTTATACTCATATTTGAACATCTCTGCGATCATGCTGCAAAGAACTTACTGGACAAGAGCTGGTGAAGGCTGTTGGGAACGTACTGGTAAACGAGAATATATTCACCGCAATCGACGCAACAACCAAACAATTTCACCACATTGGGGTGATGCAAGCCACTCAACATCTCTGCCTCTCTCATGAATTCATCCCTCCCATCTTGCCACGTCTCCGACAACTTCTCTACCGCTACCTCTCTCCCATCCTTCAACTTTCCCTGTCAATATTATGTCTGCCGATCATAATCAAACAATTACCATTTTCTTCAGTGAGTTGGGCTGAGTGGTGAGAATGCGAAGAGCTTGCCGTAAGATTTTACCTTGTAGATGTCTCTGAAGGAGTCTTGACGCCTAGTTTGAGGATCAAAGTTGTTGGTCGCTGCAACCAGGGTTCCATAGGGAAAGATCTCACACCCCTTGGCAGCTAACCTCTGCAAGTTTTCATCTTTGGGTTCCTCGGAACATACACCACAAATATTTGGGTTCCTGGTTCCTTCCCTTAAAGTACCAGCTCTGGTCCAAATATTTCTGATTCCTTTCGGAAAATCGCCAGAAAAATTTCTCAACATGATGGCTTTGGTCTTTTGGAACTGAACAGGAGGAGCTCTGTTTTTTTCTTGGTGCGGAGAGGAGAGACCGTGTTCTCAGTATTCAATAATGATGAGCTTAAAGCTTTTTTTCAGTTGACACGGAAAAAACAATCAAATCAACCGGGGCGACTGATCCAACTCACAGTGACGCGGCAAGTGTGGATATGTATTAATCAGTTGAGGTCTAAACCCAGTTAAAAACTTAAAATTTAGAAGATGATAATTAAGAACCTTTTAAAAATATTAATATTAAAATTATAAAATTTTAAAATTTTAATTAAGAATTATGATTTTTAATTATAATAAAAAAATATAATTTATGAAGTGAAATTTACTATTACCACTTGAAATTTACTAATTCAACTTGAGAAAATTTATAACGTATATTATGAAAACATAAAATCTCATTTAAAAATTAATTATTTAACAAAAAGCACCACTTAAGAATTTATTAATTTGACTTGAAAAATTAATTTGTGAATTTTCACTTAAAAATTTGTAACGTATATTGTGAAAATATAAAACTTCACTTAAAAATCGATTGTTTAATAAAAAAATTAATTTGGACAAGTCACTTTTTATTAAACGATAGATTTTCAAGTAGGTTTTATTTTTTACAATATACGATAGAAATTTTTTCAAATCTAATTAGTGAATTTTTAAATGGCGCTTTTTGTTAAACATTTCATTTCCAAGTGGGGTTTCATGTTTTCACAATGTATGTTAATAATTTTTTCAAGTTGGGTTAGTGAATTCTTAAGTCGTGTTAGTGAATCTTACCTCACAAATTATATTTTTTTATCACAATTAAGGACCATAATTCTTAACTGAGATTTCAAAATTTCACGGTTCATAATTAAAATTAATATTCTTAGAAGGTCTTTAATTATCATTCTCTCTAAAATTTATAAATTTTCAAGAGATAAATGTCGTATTTTTCTCATGTAAGGGATCAAAACATAATTTTGACTGATTATTTTGATCGGTTACTAAGTGATTATCAGATCATGTAATCAACAACATTAACAAATAATAATTTTTTTCAATTATGTCTTATTAAAATATTAATACTTTAATATTTAAAAGTTTAAATATGATTATTTAGAAATCTTTTTCCAAAATTTATAAATTATTTTTTAAAAAATTAACAGTTCGTGTATCTGAGATTTGCAAGTGAATATATTTTTCAAATTATTTGAGTTGTAAATTAAAATAGTGTGATAAGTTATAAGTATTTTTTTTTAATTTAGAAATTCTCATTTAAAAATTTACAACTATATTAGTGTATATTCAAATGCATGAGCATGTGTTTTTCATATTAGTTGAGCTATACATTAAAATAATGTGAAAATTTAATTTATCAATTTTTATTTAAAAAAATAAAAAATAATTGGATTAAAAGATCACCATTTAAGAATTCACTGTGAGCATTTAAAATTGCAAGTGTCAATATTTTTAGTTAAAGAAATTAACATGTTGGGAACACAGGAAAAAATTTCATAAAATTAAGGGATCAAATTGAAATATTATACAAACTTAGAAATTAAAAATATACTTTTTTCAAAAATTTAACCATTTTGTTGCGGAAAATTCTTCATCATGTTCCTTGTCAATAGTATTTCGAGCCATAAAATGCTTTGAACATGACATAGTACGCATACGATTTGTGCAAAGATCGTCTACTGATTCAGTTCCCAATTAAACTTAAACACCAACTGACTGAAGATTGACTTGGAGAATAATAGATTGACAATTAAAACAGAGCCTAACATGATCATAAATGAAGAAGAAATTACATAGAATGTCTTGTTGGAAGATTAATTACTCCTTTAATTTTAAAGGACTCCTCTGAGTTCATCATGACACAAAATCTCAAATTGAAAGAGTTATAAACAGAGTTGAATGAAATTTTCCTTTTATCAATAAGAGCGCGCGCTCGCATATATATATATATATATATATATATATATATATATATATATTATTAAGAGTGTGATGCTGCAGAACTTTGGAAATATTGGGAACGTGTCTCAACTTTCGATTACAATATATTTGAATCTTCTAACATGCTTTAACTTAAATTTGAGGCAAGACTTACATATTTATTTTTATATATTTAATATACTTTTATTTAATTAAATCAGAACAAATAGATTTTAATGCATTAATAAAATTAAGAAAAAACATAATCTCTTATTCATATAATTTAATCGGGTTTTGCTTTTAATCGCTGTATTATTTTCAGTGTTTTCAATTTTTATAGAGACTAAAAATACTAAAAAAATTAAAATTATAGAGACTTGAGGAACAAAATCCATCCAATTTTTGTGAAATTATAGGAACTAAAAATATTAAAAAAAATAGAAACTAAAAACAAAATTTCATAAAATTATAGAAGCCGATGATTGTATTTTCCCTAATATTAATAACTAAAGTTTGCTATGGAATAAACATATATAAAATATCCTCATATATTAATTTATTAAAAACAAACACATTAAATATATAACATTAAGAAATGAAATTTAACATTGGCAATATATATATATAATTAAATATGTAAGTTTTTCTCTTTGAACAATTCTCTTCTCACCTTCATACTCGTCCCCGAACAAAATCCTTAAGAGTTAATATTACTGCTTGCATGATTTTGTGCCCCTTCAACTAATATTGCAAGTTATTTGGAAATGTGTTGATGTATAGTAAATCAGAAACAAGATGAAAGAAGGAGAATGACAAGCATACAGTAACGGCCCAAAGGAGTATGATAGTTAGGTCCTAAAATTTTGAATTAATAACAGTTAAGACTTTAATAAATTATTTTAAAAAATTAGTTGAAAATATCTATTTAGATAATTATTAATCTAATGATTTTAATTGCAAATAAGTATTTAAATATCAAATGCAACTTTTAATTATAACAGAAATTTTTGTTTGCAACTATTTAAATTGATATTTATAATTTATTTAATAAAAAAATTTATTAAAGATCTAACTATAATTAATTTAAAGTTATGAAACCTAATTGTTATCCTTCCAATGGCTCAAAGAAGATGAAGAATCCATTATGATCAGGGAAAAAGGACAATAAACGTACATTGAGAAAAAACTGTAACTTGTTTCTCCGATTTAACTACCTCTGCTCCAAATATTTCGGATTCCTTTCGGAAAATCGCCAGAAAAATTTCTCAGCTTCATGGCTTTGGTCTTCTACAACTGAACTGAAGGAACTCTGTTTTTCTTTGGGAAAATCAGAGCCAAGGATCGCTAGAGGATTTTATTTACAAACAAGTATTAAATAATTATGAAATTATACTGCAGGATCAAAAGGCCAAAATGCAAGTAATTTTTAGTGTGAATAGACAAAATTACCCTACAATTTTTTTAAAAAAAACTTCTCGGCCGCCGGAGCTCTGATGCTGGTGGCCAGACCACCCTACTAGACTGGCCATCTGAGCTCTGGTAGTGATAACCGGACTGCCACTAGAGCTCCGCCTTCAATCATCGGATTGGCGAGGGAGATAGATAATTTTTTTTAAGGTGGCCAAGGTGAGGTTTGAACCTACATCCTCTTAGCCACCAAAAAAATTTATTAGCCATTAAGTTAACAAATCTTTTCAATTATATAATGTAAATTTTTATATATATATACTTAACTCTATTTCTACTTTTCATATCAACATTTACTAAGAGCTTAATGGTTACTTGTCATTTTATAGATAACTACGTGTTAAATTACTAATAGAACTTGTTAAAAAATTTGATACGCACTAATTTTTATAAATATTTACTTATTTTTATCATCAAGAATGACAAGTTCCTATTAGCAATTTAACAATTAACCATTTTCAAGATGACAAATCTTGTTATTAACTTTAAAAATTTATCTTGATAATTTGATAAGAAAACTTTTGTAAAATAACAAGTTTAAATAAGCTTTTGATATGCAAGCTTTTAGTAATAACAATAAATAAACATTTATAAAAATCACTCCATATTAAATTTCTTTAACAAGTTCCCATTGATAATTTAACAAATAATCATTTTTCAAATAATAAATTTCATTACTAGCTTTGAAAATTTATCTTGATAACTTGACGAAAATTTTTTAGCAAAATAACTAGTTCATAGTTATAAGTTTTTGACATGTAAAATTTTAGTAATAAAAACAAGTAAACATTTATAAAAATTACTCCATATTAAACTTATTTAATAAGTTTCTATTGTTAATTTAACAAATAACTATTTGTAAAATGACAAGCTTCGTTACTAGCTTTGAAAATTTCTCTTGATAACTTGACAAGAAAATTTTAGCAAAATAACAAGTTCTTATAAGCTTTTGACATGTAAAATTTTAGTAATAAAAACAAGTAAACATTTGTGAAAACTGCTTCATATTAAATTTCTTTAATAAATCTCCATTGTTAATTTAACAAATATCTATTTGTGAAATAATAAGTCTCATTATATTTTAAAATTTTCTTTCACTTTTTGTGTCAATATTTATCATGAGCTTAATGGTTATTTATCATTTTATAAATGACTATTTGTTAAATTAATAATGAGGACTTGTTAAAAAAATTTAATATGGAGTGGTTTTTATAATGTTTACATGTTTTTATTATTAAAAGTTTATATGTGAAAAGCTTAGAAAAACTTATTATTTTACTAAATTTTCTTGTCAAATAATAGGTCTAATCGCTCAACCCTAATATAATTTAAAGCTAACCTAGGTCATCTTCTAATGAATGATTTATGTTCAATTAAAATGTTATTTAATAGAATAAATAACTCAATGTTTTAGATGTTTGGTTACCTAATTAACTACTCAATTACTTAATTGACAAGTAATTAAAAATGCTAGCTAAGGTGTTGTGAACTTTCCTTTTTAAGAATGTGAAACTCTAGAGATTAGTTGATTTTGGAATCATTATCTTCATGTGATTAGGTTAAATTAAGCTTTCCTTTCCTCTTAACTAAAACTATCTAGACTTAAGAAGACTATCCTAAGTCAATTAACCTAATTAGCTAATTTCTCTAAGTCTTAGATTA